TTTCATACAGGCAAACTCATTTTTAATGCTACTAACACTTAGATGTTTGCACATGTGTCTTTAATCTCTATGTATCTGATTATCACTAGTCACAGTTGGTTACACTTGGATCCTTGGAACCAGAGAACGGATATAAAATTATCAGGTAGATTTCAATGGTAATGTTTATCACTGCTACTAATTAACATGGAGTAAATTTTTATGCTTCCTCTTCAAATATGTCTTTTCTTTTTGATTTGTTGATTTTTTTTGTGTGTGTATCTCATGCAGAGCATCCCACACAATCTTATTCATCTATATACCCACTTCCCAAATGGGACCCTCCCATACCCCCCCCCCGACTGGAGCTGATATGCTCTGTCATCCCTGCTACTGTCCACTGTGTTGTCGGCACCCCCAGCCATTCCCCGGTGCTTATCCGTCTGCTGAATCTAGTAAGCCTATCTAGAGTTCTTTGTTTTAGGAAGATCAGCTGTTCCTCATCTAGCAGCTATCACTTGTCAATATTCCTTTAGATAAGATTGGGGTCTGATGTTCATTTTCCCAGTTTTATGCTGTGTGTCTTTTGGACCACCCTGGCCAATAACTCAAAGGAAGGTATCTCCTGTCTGGCATTGTTTCTTGTTATGTAGCTTTTAGCTATACGTATGGACTCTTAAAAAATTATATTGATCCCATTAATCTTTAGTTATACTTTCCTTTTGGGTGTTTAAGACTCTATAATTGACCCAGATAAACCAATTTATTTTTACTCTTAAAGTCGTTTGAGGATCTGTTCCTCAGGGGTCACATGGATTTTGGGAGGAGACCCTGGCTCCTTTCTTTTACCAGTTCCATCTATGTGAAGATAAGGCAAAGGTCCTGCTCGACCATGGCTGGCTTCGCTTGGAAGCATGGGGGAAATGTTTTCTCTGTGTTGACCCTGCTCTTTGTAGATTAGACACTGGTTCAAGTCCATCTGGTGGGGTCTCCACGGCCTCCTTGATCGAGAGGACAGGTGACTCACCACAGTTACAGGCCATTTTGAGAGATGCTCATAGTCCCCTGGAACTTAGTCGACGTAGGAGGGAAAGGAGCAAAAAGTGTCCTTTAGGCCCTCTGTCCAAATTAGTATAGGCCTTGTAGTATGACTGATAAACATCAAGAAGGTTAGTTCCACAAGTCTGGTACTTTTAATTACCATGCACCATGTAGATAAAGCTTGAGCAAAGACCAAATGCTCTCAGATAAACCTTGCCTAGACATATATTATATTCTGTGATCTAGTTGTATGTATAATTTGTCAGTAGGTTGTTGGACTAATGTGGTTTTGCTATATAGCTATATAGTAATTATTTCTGGCCTTTTTATGGTGAGGCCTATTTATTTGATAAAATCTGAATTGCAGGCAGAAGGCACTTCATTTTGAGGCTTTTGTACAAGGAAATCTGGGCTTTAGGATTAGGGTTAGGGTCTTCAGTAGTGCTGTGGTTATGTTTTGCATCATACCAGGTTCCACCCATCCTCAGAATATTGGGGGATGTTATCAGTGCTTCTCCCGAAAACGTTCTGTTTTTAAGCTCTTCATATATCTTAATAACCTCCTAGAAGAAACCCACAAAAATGAACATAGTGTATCAATAATTTAGTCTTCACCAAAAAGCTTCTAGTCACTAACAGTTCCACTGAAGGTAGATGGTCCTTACTCACTAAATACCTCAATGGGCAACAGCTCTCTTCTGTGTTGATCTTATAGTTTAAGGTTTCCTGCCCGGCAGCTATTTTAGAAAAATGACAAAACATTAAAGACAGCAGTGCTTGGATTTAGTTGCCTCTTTCCCTTTCCAGAGACACTCTGGACTAACCCCATCTTTTTAAAGATTTATTTTAATTTTATTTATGTGTAATTTTGTGTGTCTGTGTGTAGAAGCCAAAATAGGTATTGGAGTCTCTTGGAGCTGGAGTTACAGGTAGCTGTGCACCACCCACTGTGGGTGCCAGGAACTGAACTTGGGGCCTCTGCAAGAGCAGTATACACTCTGTGTGTGTGCGTGTGTGCGTGCGTGCATGTGCGCACGTGCTAAATAGCTGTTTCCTGATTTTTTTATATTAATATCTTTTTCAAATATAACTCATTTATTGATTTTTTTTTGTATTTCATGCAGAACATCCCAAACAATCATACTCATCTTTATACCCGCATCCCAAATGGCACCGTCCCATAGCCTCCCCCCAGACCCCACGGGAGCCCATATACTCTGTCATCCCTGTTACTGTCCACTGTGTTGTCAGTGCCCCCACCTGTTCCCCAGTGCAAGTCCATCTGCTGAGTCCAGTCAGCCTATCTAGAGTCCCTTGTTTTAGGCAGATCAGCTCTTCCTTATCTAACAGCAATCAATTGCCAACATTCCTCTAGATAAGATTGGGGTCTGCTGTTCATTTTCCAAGTTCTATGCTGAGTTACAGTCTGGGAGTCTCTTGGGCCACCCTGGCCAACAACTCAGGAAGGTATCTCCTGTCTGGCATTGTATCTTGTTATATAGCCTTTAGCTATACAGGTGGACTCTTAAAGAAATACACTGATCACTTTAATCTTTGCTTATACTTTACTTTTGGGTATTTAAGACCATACAGTTGGCCTAAATAAACCAATTTATTTTTACTTTTAAGGTCGTTTGAGGATCTGTTCCTCAGGGGTCACATGGGCTTGGGAGGAGCCCCTGGCTCCTTTCTTTTACCAGTTCCATCTATGTGAAGATAAGGCAGAGGTACTGCTCTGCCATGGCTGGTTTCACTTGGAAGCCTGGAGGAGATGATTCTTCTGTGTTGACCCTGCTCTTTGTAGACTGGACACCGGTTCAAGTCCATCTGGTGGGGTCTCCATGGCCTCCCTGAACAAGAGGACAGGTAACTCCCACAGTTACAGTACAGTTTGAGAGATGCTTCATAGTCCTCTGGAACTTAGTCGACCTTGGAGGGCAAGGAACAAAAACTGTCCTTTATGTCCCTCTGACCAGATTAGTATAAGGCCTCAAAGTGTGGCTTTTAAATATCCAAGAATGTTAGTTCTACCAGTCTGGTACTTTTAATGACCATGCACTATATAGATAAAGCTTGGGCAAAACCAAATGTTCTTAGATAAACATTGACTAGATATATATATTTGAACTAGTTGTATGTATAATTTGTCAGTAGGTTGTTGGACTAATATGGTTCCCTCTGGTTTTTTTAAAACTAGCTATATTTTTATCTTGCTCACTGTCTAACTCTTCTACCATGTTTCCCCATTTAAAGAGCTCCCATTTTTCCTATTTCCCTGTAATAATACCCTTCTCCTATGGTCCCACCTCTCTTGAGCTCCTTCTTTCCCTTTATCCTCAAGGTTCCTTGTAATACCCTCCCTTCCCCTCCCATTTAAATAACCCCGTTTTTATCCATATCTCCTTTAGTAACACCCATTTCCTACTGCTCTTCTCTTTCAGTTTCTTTTCCTTTACCCCCCTGGTTCCTTTCGATTATCCTGGTTCCAGTAGTTATGTCTGGATACATACTCATTTTTCAGGGTTTGGTGCTAGGATCCACATATGAGGGAGAACATACATTGTTTCTCTGAGTCTGTTACATCACTTAGTATAGCAGTTTCTAGTTCCATGCATTTACCTGCAAATTTCATGATTTCATCTTTCTTTACTGCTAAGTAGAATTCCATCATATAAATGTACCACATTTTCATTACCCATTTGTCAGTTGAGGGACAGTTAGCTTGCTTTCATCTCTTAGCTATTGTGAAAAGAGCAATAACAAACATGGATGTACAAGTGTCTGTGCAATAGGATGAGTTCTTTGGGTATATGCCAAGGAATGGTATATATGTCAAATGGTAGTTCATTTTTATGTTTTAAAGAGTTCTCCACACTGCTTTCCATAGGGGTTGAACAAGTTTGCAATCTCACCAGCAGTGGATGAGCATTCCCCTTTCCCCGCATCCTCTCCAACATTTGGTATCATTTGTTCTCTTGATCTTAGCCAGTCATGGTGTCAGCATACACAAATCCCATGCAACCTCAAGCAGGCAAAACCCAGTATAGAACTGGGGAAATGGACAACAGACCTTAGGCTTAGGTGAAGAAATATTGGCAACTGAATACTGCTAGGTGAGCAAGATCTGATCTTCCTAAAATGAGGAACTCTAGATAAGCTGACAAGACCTCAGTAGATGAACTTGCACTGATTGTGAGTGCCAGAAGTATTGGAATTCTCTTTCAGTCATAAGTAGGATCACTGCCTGTTATAGTACATTTCACATAGTAGGCAATGAATAAAAAATGGATGACTGAATAGCATTGTCTCTTTGGGAAATGATGGCCCAAATTCTGAAACTGAATAAGTTAGTGCATGAGTATGAATTGTTATGCCCAACAATTGACTCATTATTTTTGGAGATTGTTTTATGCTGAAACTGAAGGAGACCTTTAAATTGATCTGTCTTGTTCTCCCATTATGTAACTTGTCCCTTTATAGATCCATATATCTACACATTTACTTTTACCTGGTGTCAGCAGTTTTCCTTCATTAGGAAAAGGAGGACGCAGCAGCACACTTGTCAACTTTAGGCAGGTGTGTCTCTTGAACTTAATTTTTTCATTTTACTTCATACTCCAAGGTGTGGAATCTCTTGGTGTGCCCAGTTCTTTCATTTTGAAGTGAAAGAACACTGAACAGGCAACATGAATCATTGGAGTGCCTTAGACCAGCTCCTGGTAAAGGTTCAAACCTACTCCACAGCTGGAGGAAAGGTGTGGCTCTCAGTCCTTTTCATTTTCCGAATCCTGTTCCTGGGGACTGCCCTTGAGTCAGCCTGGAGTGATGAGCAGCTTGCCTTCCATTGCAACACTCAGCAACCTGGTTGTGAAAATGTGTGCTATGACCAGGCTTTCCCAATCTCTCATGTGCACCTCTGGGTCCTGAAGATCATATTCATGTCTATGCCTACACTCTTATACATGGCACATGTGTTCTGTGTGATACGACGGAAAGAGAAGTTGAACATGCAAGAGGAGGAACTCAGAGTTGCTCTAATTAATGGTCCCAGTGTGGAGAAGTTCTTACAGGAAGTTGCAGTGAAGAAGTTTAAGTATGGAAATGAAGAACATGGTGAAGTGAAAATGAGAGGGGGGTTGCTGGTACCTGTGTGATTAGTATCTTTTTCAAGTCTGTTTTCGAGGTGGCCTTCCTGCTGATCCAATGGTACATTTATGGATTCATCCTGAATCCAGTTTATGTCTGTGAACATGAGCCCTGCATGCGTCAGGTCAACTGCTTTCTCTCTCGCCCCACAGAGAAAAGCATCTTCATCCTCTTCATGCTGGCAGTGTTCCTGGTGTCACTTACCTTGAATATCATTGAGCTGGCCTACATCTTATTTAAGAGCATTAATATTAATAATCATCTGAAAGATAAGGAGAATGAGGCTTACTACAATACAGCTGACCTACAGAGCCCTTACAGTGGCTCCTTACCAAGTTTTCTCTCCACTTTGTCTCCTTCTGAGGACCAGGTGGTTCCTGAAGGAAGTAGTTGTTCCTATATTTAAAGTGAGCCAAACCATGGTAGTTGCACTGTGGAATAGGATCAATGGGGAGAAGAGCAGACAGGAAGAATCCCCTCTGGTTTGCACTCAGCCTTTTCTTCTCCCTGATGAGGTTGGAGAGAAAAGCAAAGATACTAAACACTAGTCAGTTTAGAATAGCAGTCATCCTGCAGTAGCAGCGCTCCTGCCAACAACAGCCTGATAACCTAGACATTGAGCTATGTGCCTGAAGACAAAGGTGCAGTAGAAAGAACCCATGTTTCAGTGCAGTTGATACTCAGTAGCCTCAATAATGAGACCACCAGGGTTCCTAAGGGTCTCTAGAATAGTAGCTATGGAGAGAATTGTCACCAAGACATGTGCATTTAAAATGGTTGAGCCTAGCTCATTCGTAGACATCTTGCCTAGCATGTGTAAGGCCTTGGATTTAATCTCCAGTAACACAAGAATAAAAATAAATAAATGAACTAAAAAAATAAATAAAATAGTTGACTTGAACCTCATTTTTTATTAAAAAACATATATGCATATAAGGTGTTTTGATCAAATCCATGCCCACTTTCTCCCCTCCAACTCCTCCCATATCTCCCTATCACTTTTTTTCTGACAACTTCGTCTTCCTCCCTCCCTCCCTCCTCTCTCTCTCTTCCTCTCTCTCTCTCTCTCTCTCTCTCTCTCTCTCTCTCGCTTGCTTGCTTTTCTTTCTAATGGGGCTTTTTGCTGCTCCAACATTCCCCCCTCTGAAGAGGTAACCCTAAAATCTTTCAGGGATTAGATAAGAGCTCCCAAATACTTTTGACATTTTTGGCCTTTGGAACGTAGTATGTTGCTAAGAGGCCCAAGCACATTTTGACTTTCAGCCAAAAATCTGGCTACTTTTCTTTGGGGTCTTTTTTTACCCGAACTGCCTAGCCAGTTCCTACCTCCTGTTCTTATCACACTCTCCTCTGAAGAGGTTACCCAAATTGCTGATAGGATATCGGGACGCAGACTGCTCTGGCTTCTTCCATGCTGAACAGGGATGCAGGGTGAGGCAGTTGGGGTACCCCTTCAGTGGGTCTATCTAAAAGACTCCCAAATTGCATAACTCTTAACTGTAATGAGAAAAGAAAGTCCTTGACTGGTGAACAGGGGATGTGAAGAAGTAAAGGCAAGAGTAGTTAGCATTACAAGAAAGAACCTATTTTCTAATTAAAAGTTGTATTGGGTGATGTGTAAGGGCCTTTTCTCTCCTGTATTCTCCTAGAATGATTCCCTGTATAGAGAAAAGTGATTCATTATGTATTCATATAAGCAAATGCAGTGTGGACTCAATAACTTACATTTATTTTTTTTTATTTTATGTGTATGAATGTATTGCCTCCATGTATGTGAGTGCACCCATTTCAGTGCAGTGCAGTGGAGGTCAGAAGAGGGCATCAGATTTTTCTGGAACTGGAGTTAAGGACGGTTCTTAACCACCATGTGGGTACTGGAAATCGAACCCAGGTCCTCTGCAATTGCAGTCAGTGCTTTTAACCTCTAAGCCATTGTATTAGTCAGGGTTCCCTAAAGAAACAGAACAGTAGAATGAATGAATATTTTATATATATATATAAAATATTCATATATATGTATGCATGTATGTATTTTATATATAGGGATTTATCAGATTACCTCACAGGATAGAGTCTGAGTAGTCCATCAATGGCTACACCACACTGGAGAGGCTGAGAATCCAGTAGTCGCTTGGTCCATGAGGCTGGATGTCTCAGTAATCCCAATCTGGCACTGAAGGTCTGATGAATTCCAAAAGATTGTCTGGTCTTCAGTCTACAGCAGCAAGACGAACTCACCAGCGAGAGAGAAGGCAAGCAGCAAAAGGCCAGTGCTCCCTTCTGCCACAGCCTTTTATATGGGCTGCCAACAAAAGGTAACACCCACATTTAGGGTGCGTCTTCCAGCTTCAGATTGGGATGATCCAATCAAGAAGGTCTCTCTCATTTCAGTTAATCCCAGATCCAGTCAAGTTGACACCCAGGATTAGCCATCACAAGTCAACTTGACACCCAAATAGCATCTCTGTATGTCATGCTTAATTTTCAAATGAAAACAATGATGAGGTCATAATTTCACCTAACAGGATAGGACTAGCCCATCATCATACAATGACCAATGCATTATATCTTAGAGTAGGTGATAACCTAATACGATCATATAGGGTTCACAATAGTTAACCACTCAATTACACATTCAAAAAAGAATATCTGCTCAACATATGTGTATATATGCACAAGCATATTCTTAACCAAATAGGACAAAAACACTCATGTCAATTACAATCCACGTCTCTGCAAGAGATATTGATATTTAAGTTGATATTTATAATTCCCTTCCTCTATTAGGTTACCCATTCTGTATTTCCTCCACCATCAGCAAGCACCTCTGCAGGTCTTGGTCTTTCCCTGGAGGAGTGAACTACACCTTCATCCCTGAAGGAGTCTGGGCCATTTGTTATCCTTTCTGGATTGTGTTGTTGCAGTTTCCCATTGACATGATAACATCAAAAGGCACCCTAAGGAATCGCATCTTCATTACCCCCATTGTGGAGAACCAGTCCAATTTCCCCCTGGTAGTCTGGGTCAATCACCTCTCCTAATACTGTTATTCCTTTCTTAGCCCGCTGATTTAAGGGTATCAGAAGCTCGAAGTGGCCAGGGGGAATTCTTAGCTTCCAGTTCAATGGAATGTTTGTGTGTCTCCTGGCAGAAGCAGTCCCTCCTCTGGAGTCAAAACTTCTAAGCCAGCAGAGTGCAAAGATGTGGGTACAGGAAGCAAAATTTTTTTCTAGTAGGTCAACAGCAGTGATAGTGAGTGGAATCATTCCCACTTCCACCCCTTGATTCCTGGATCTGTGGATCCTGAATATAGGAGAAATAGTACCATATATTAGATGCTGATTCAAAGCATAAACTGCCTTCTGGAGGACCCTGCCCCAGCCCTCCAGGCAATTGCCACCCAATTGATGCTGTAACTGTGTCTTTAAGAGGCTCTGTCAAGCCAGCTGCTTCAGGATGGTGGGGAACATGGTAAGACCAGTGGATTCCATGACCATGGGCCCACTGTTGCACTTCTTTGGCTGTGAAGTGAGTTCCCTGGTTAGAAACGATGCTATGCAGAATACCATGACGGTGGATAAGGCATTCTTTTAGTCCCTGGATGTTAGTTTTGGCAGAAGCATTATGTGCAGGAAAGGCAAATCCATAACCAGAATAAGTGGCTGTTCCTGTAAGGACAAAGCACTGTCCCCTCCAAGATGAAAGTGGTATAATGTAGTCAACCTGCCACCAGGTTTCTGGCTGGTCACCATGGGGAATAGTGCCGTATCAGGGCTCAGTGTTGGTCTCTGCTGTTGGCAGATCTGGCACTCAGCAGCAGCGGTAGCCGGGTCAGCTATCATGAGTGGGAGTCCATGCTGTCGAGCCCATGTATAACCTCCATCTCTGCTACCATGGTCACTTTGTTCATGGGCCCATTGAGCAATGACAGACATAGATGAAGAAAGAGGCTATCCACAGAGCGGATTATCCCATCTACTTGATTATTTACATCATCTTCTGCTGAAGCCATCTTTTGATGAGCATTTACATGAGACACAAATATTGTCACATCCTTTGCCCATTTGGAGAGATCTATCCACATACTTCTTCCCCAAATGTCTCTCTCACCAATTTTCCAATCATGCTCCTTCCAAGTCCCTGACTGTCCAGCTAAACCATTGGCTACAGCCCATGAATCAGTATATAATTGCACTTCTGACCATTTCTCATTCCACCTTGTGCACTGCCTGAAGTTCTGCCCACTGTGAAAACTTTCCTTCACCAGTGTCCTTCAGGGTTATTCCAGAAATTGGCTGTAATGTCATGGCTGTCCACTTCTGAGTGGCGCAGCATAGCATGCAGAACCATCTGTAAACCAAGCCCTAGTCTTTTCTTCCTCAGTCAACCAATCATGAAGCCATTGGTGCATTCTTGAGAACAGGAGGCATTGTAACAGGAGTAGGAACCATAGGCATTTGGGCAACTTCTTCATGTAACTTGCTTGTGCCCTCCAGGCCTGCTTGGGCCTGATCATGTATATACCACTTCCATTTGATAATGGATTGTTGCTGTGCACATCCTACTTTATGGCTTTGGGGGAGGGCAGATAATACCCAGCTCATGATAGTCAGCTCAGGTTACATGGCAACTTGGTGGCCCATTGTCAAATGTTCAGTTTTCACAAAGGCCTTGTCTTAGTTTGTTTCTTCATTGCTGTGACAAAACACTCTGACCACTATGAACTTAGGGAGGAAAGGGTTTATTTAGCTTGCATATCCCGGGTCCCAGTTCATCCAGGAGCTCAAAGTAGAAACTCAGGGCAGGAATGTGCAGGCAGGAGCTGGAGCACAGGTCATGGAGGAGTGCTGCTTACTGGCTTGCTCCCCTGGCCCCTGCTCAGCCTGCTTTCCTATGCAACACAGGCCCACCTGCCCATGGGTGGCACCACCCACAGTGGGCTGGGCCCTCCCTCACCACTCATCAAGAAGATGCCCATCAGACATGGCCACAGGCCAGTCCAATAGAGGCAATTCCCCAATTGAGGCTCCCTCAACCCAGGTGTGTCAAGTTAACTCTGAAGCTATCCAGCACAGATACAAAATGAAATCTAGAGGGTCAGACATGGTGATGAACACCTGTAATCCCAGCGCTCAAGTGGCAGAGGCTGGCAAGAGGACCTGGAGTTCAAGACCAACCTAGGCACAGTCCTTAAAAAATTCAAACACTTAAAAATCCATAGTCTCTTAATAGTCTCTTAACTTTGGGTTGGCTTCTATAAAATCCAAAACAAGTACTGTCTTATTTCAAAGGGAAGAATCGGGCACACCTAAGCAAAACCAAAGCCCAGCAAAGTAGCTCAAGGCTGGACATCTGGGATTCACTCATGATCTTCTGGGCTCCAAAGGGTACTAGCAGCTCCACTGC